AATTATGAACATTGTAATACTTGCTCTTCATTATTATGTACTGTGTCCAAACATGATGGTATTATGGCTGGAGTTCCGAAAAGGAACATGCCCCGATTGGCTATAAATTTTTAACACAGGTTCTATTATGGACTAGAACAGCGTTTCAGATTTTCTTTTTTGCTACGGAACCCTTTTTGACTCACCAATTTTTGGCGGAACACCATCTCGACAAAAAAGTAAACTCATAATAGATTTATATATAAGACTCCTGCCACCTTATTGCCTACATGTTGTAATCTTCAACCTGAATTTTAAATTGAAAATCTTGATTACACATTTTTACTGATAATAGCATTAAAATAAGGTTTCGTGTCCGATAATTGAATTCGAATATCCGGAGTGGCATTCGACACAGTTAATATTGAAGCTTTAGTCTGATTTGCGAATGGATTCAGTACTAAGTGGCTGTCTTGTAATTCCTTTGAAAAATTTTTTTCAAGGATTTCTTGAGGTTCAACAGATGTTAGTTTATGGCTTTATACGCATCTAAAGATACTTTGACCATTTTGATAAATCCGTTTAGAAGAGAAAAACTAGGTTCCGTGGAACACGATTTGGGAACCGCCAGACTAGATCATAAGATGATGATTGATGATACTTGAAAGGTTTTTTACCGCCTCCAAACTTCTATCGTAAAGGGCAACATGTGGTAAAAAATTGAGATAAATCTACGGAGTTTTTCTTTCCAGAAAAAAAGAACAGTGCGATAATCTTTTTAAGTATCATCATAATACATAAGAGCGTCATAAAAATTTGAAGCCAATCGGAGCATGTCCCTTTTTTAAAACTCTCGATGGTATTACTTGTATTTACATTACAGAAATAATGCTATGACTGTTTTTTTCAAGGTGTTTACATAACAGTTGATAATTACTTGTACTACAGAAACAGTAGCGACTCCCCATCGAACTTCCTTACGCAGTACATTTCCACGAAAAACGTATGGCTGGTCTTGGCTATAGCCGCCTCTTTCGTATTGGTTGTAATTTTACTGATTTTACTGGTTTTGCGAAGTCGCATATGTTTGGCCATCGTTTTAGTAAAGGAATCTAGCAAGTAAGTTGCAGTTAAGCAGTGTGTTTGGTAAATTAATAAAAAATAAACATTCTCCTAGTCCTGCATTTGCGAATATGGTATGTGGGTGGGTAAGGGAGTTTACCGCATGCGTTACAAATACATTGAGTGCCAGAATTAGGGAAGAGATGCGGAAAACATTTTTTAAACAGCAGTTTTCTCGACAGAAATGGATACAGCACATTTTTTTGAATACGACAATTTTCTCGTACCTACTGAGAAAATTATGTCAACAGTTTTAAATTCAGAAAAATTAGTCAGAAAAGGTTTCTTTAAAACAAACCAAATCAAACGCGGGCAACATAAGTAAATCAACTGTTCAAATTGTAAATGCGGCTACCTGCTGATTCTTCTCCAACAGTGTCAACCTTGAAGAAGAAACAATAATTCGATCTTCGCATTTTCGTGACCTTTTCTTAAGTGATTATCGGGCGATAGTTCGGCTTAGCCCTTACATCCGCCCCATATTTTTCGTTGTACAGGGTGCAGGAGGTGATAGAGCACTATCAAACAAGAAAACTAAGTAAATGTTTGATGGTTCGAATATTCACCGTTTTCAAGAAAAATGTATTTTAAAGTGCAACCAATTATCAGTCCGGTCCTGGTAGGATAACTCAGGGAAATACGACATTGCAACGCTGCATTCAATCAGCTGCTATTTACCAGCATCCACATTGTATTTCTTTTGTAGTTTTGCACTCCCGTATTATTTGTTATTTGTAAGATTTAGATTAAGTTTATGTTTACGGCCATCCTAGAATAGTTTTTTGGTCATTTATCGTTGTAGGCTTGTATTACGTATATATGTATAGAGTCGATGTCACTAGAAGTAGGTCAATGTGTCAGTGTCACAGGTTAGCCCAAAATAGTTTTATTGCATTAACTAATGCGTCAGTTTCTAAATCGGTTTGACTTCTTTGTATGGGGTAGTATGAAACAGCGCGTGTATCAAACGCCAGTGCAGAGCGCTAATGATTTGTACGACCGGGTATGGTCGCTGCAAATGAAGTATGCCAAATGCCGGACTTTTTTGCGCGACTAATAATTTGTAAATTTTCTAATAAATCTGTCTCGCAAATAGACTCATCTTCTTCCGACTATTGGTCTAGCAAATAGACTCATCTTCTTCCGACTATTGGTCTAGCAAATAGACCATAAACGCATCCTCATCGAGCTACAATCCCGCAAATAGACTGGAGACGGATTTTTATTTGTTAGCTTGTATACGCACGTTACAAAATGTTTTAGAAATATCTACATGGGGCTAAGAGAAATTATTTTGTATTTATTAGCACAGTTTAAAAACGTAGTGTACTAAAGGTTAATTATTTGTTTAGAGCAATTAGTTCAGTGACGGCATCTTTATTCTTTCCCGTCTTTCCATGGATTATTCAGATTGTAGTGATTATTTATGGTCTCGTTATCGGATTGTTCCTTTTAACACTAGGGGACCCTTATTACCAAGTAAGAAATATGGATCCAAATTGTGCATGTACTGGAAATGGCGTAAATTATACTGTAAGTACTTTTTAGATAAGAGAGCATTAAATAAAACTAACAATAAGAAAAATATGTAACATGGAAGTAATGTAACAGCAACTCACAATCACTTTACAAATAGAAAATACCTAAGTACTCTATAATATGTGCAAGGAAATCGTACCATTTGGTTCTTCATGCTTTAAGCCATATTTTCCATTTCGGCTTTTGTTTTGATGCATAATAAAAGAGTAAATGACCATTACGAATTGATATGATTGACCAATCTAAAAGGTGGTTTTCTCAAATTGGAATTTGTTAAGTCACCCTGTGGTAAAAATTGAACAATAGTAAGTTAAGGCTAAATTCAGACGGAGAGTATAAATGACAAGTCGATATTCGACAGTGACCTAGACTGCCTAGACGCCCAGAAGTTTAGCCCATAGCATAACATTTGCGAGGACAACGGTTCGATTCCCAGTACCTCTGTTCTACTTTGTTTTCTAAATTTTTCTGTGGCTTCCTTTGGATCACTTAGGCAGTAATATTCTACAAACAAATAATCTTTCAATTCTTGTTTGTCTTCATTTTGTCAGCTTCATCTCCCTAATCATTAGCCACCCATTCTCACGATTCCTAAAAGGAGGCCGAAGACGGCCTTCTTCCATAGCCCTGTTCGTCCATAAACAGAAGTAGCTGGTAGGAATGAAATGTTCAAAAACTTGAAGAATCAATGGGGTGTTGTTGATACAAGACAACTGATATAAATAGGGCGTGAACATGTCACGTATGCGTTTGATGCGCAATAGTACGCATGTATAGATAACCCTTAAAATCCTGCACAAAATTTTTGACGTGACAACGTCTTATAATTCGATGCAGCCGGCTGCAGGCACGAAAAAACATGACTCATGCGGCGTTACCTCGCTCTGAGGCGTTCCATTTAAGGCTTGAAGTGTAAGCGAGAGCGCGGAACGAGCGACAAAGAGGCACAATCGGCCTCCGCGTTCGGCAGCGTTCGACATCTGTCTCTCTCCTACTTGAGTGAGCGATGCGATGCGTCCGCGTGGACAGCTGCTACAAAATAATACATTTCCATTTACCTCCTTCTCTATATCCATACAAAATATCTATCAAACAAATAAAATTAAAATTTTCTTTTGAAAAATGAAACCATTCCATCAGTATTTTCTTATGACGTTGTCACGTTCAATTATCGTCAGTAAACCGACTTTACAGACAACCGATTTTTTTTGTTTCTGTCGAGATAATCGTTTGAATCAATATAAGTCAATCTACCAAATTTCACAAATTGCGCGTGATCGTCATCGTCAGCAATACTAAAAATAAATGTAATCAATAACTGCCCAAAATGTTGTTTTTGTTGACAAGTTCACGTACTTGTATTTCAATTGTAAGTCAATTGTAAGTAAAAAAATCAAAAGTCTACTTTTATTATTACATAAACCAGGAACAGGAATCAGAAACACAATGAATAGCCAATTTACTAGAATGTTTACTCTGAAATCTCGTACAATACGTTGTAAAAGATTGAGAGAAAAACACAATTATTTGAATAGTATTATCAAAAACAAGCATTTAATCTCAGACTTTGATCGTCCACCCCAGGGAGGAGAGCCTAACTAACAATAATATCAATTTTAATTTTACTGAAATCTGTTTCTCTTTTTGTTAAAATTTGATTAAAAATTAAAGATAGTAATGATAAATATTAATTTGAGTTTCTCAATATTTTGCAGTTCTAAACAGATGTATACCCACATTGCCCCTTAATTTAGACGCTTCAACAATAGAGGATTTAACTGGATATAATATTACAGCCATCGAATCTGCTGTAAATAATGTCAAATTGTTGTCGGCTGCAGGAGAAGTAATACAATATATATTTTTTTATTTTGAAAATCACATTATTGTTGGTCGTAAATGTATGAGTATGATCAAATGCCAGATAGAAGGGCTAAAAATTATTCTGCACTTTATGGGTTACTCCATTAAAATTTTGTCTAATTGGTTCATTGACTGACTGACGCCAATTGATAACCGATTAACGTGAATTGATACTCTTCCGTGCTAACGATTAGATTAGGAATAAAAATGTGAAAAAGTTTTAAATGTTACATGTGGATCAATTATACACTTTAGCGCGTCAAAAAAAAAAGACTAAAGAAGGGTATACTGTCTGGATGGCGCCAAGGATGTTCTGTTCATCCAAATGTTACCTATTATTCTAAATTGACCTGAGCACAAATGTGTAGCGTACACCCTCATTATTGTGCGAACGAAGGGGGTAGTAAATGAGCCGGATAAGTAAATGTGTAGCGTGCGTGACGCTAAAAGATAAAGATGCCAAGCTCCACTCTGTTTGCGAGACCGGAGGCTGGACGACGATGTGGCCATGGTCTATTTACGAGGTCAATAGTCAGAAAAATATGGGTCTATTTGCGAGACTGGAGGCTGAATGATGATGTGACTATGGTCTATTTGCGAGGCCAACAGTCACAAAAAGATGAGTCTACTTGCGAGACTGGATGATGATGTGACCATGGTCAGAAAAAGATGAATCTATTTGCGAGACTGGATGATGATGTGATCATGGTCAAAATTAAAATTAAATTACAATTAGAAAGAGGAGACTGTGGTAAATATTAATTCAAAATTAAAAGGAACACTCACCCATAATTACCACAAATAATTTTATTTGAGCGGACACGTGTTTCGCGAGAATGATGATGATGTGACCATGGTCCCAAATTAGACAGGACCCCCTCCCTAGTGATTAACGATATTGGTCATCCTGCTGTGACGTATTTCAGGAAGCGTACTCGACGTCCTGAATGGTTTGTTTTTGTTGATTGAGCAGAGTTGTTATTGGTGGTTGCGGGCCCAGGATAGGATTATGAATGTTGTCCCTCTGACATGATAAATGCGGTTTAATTCGGCGAATAAATACGGTTTTCTCTTTGAACATGTGGATATTCCTAACTAATTACTTTAAAAGAGACGTCGTAAGAGAACTGTAGCGAGTTTTTAGGACCATGGTTTCGAACTAGAAAGTAATCTGCTATTTGGAGGTTTTTGTAGATGAATGTCTTCTTTTCCCCATGTCGCGTTCCGGATAAAAGCTGAAGTAGATAGTTGGAAGTTTTGACGAAGTTGTTGTACGTAGGTTGATCGGCTGTTGTTGGTCTGTTAGCTTGATAGAGATAGAAATTCTCCAGGTAGACGTAGTGATTTTCCATATACCATGTCAGCGACTGTTGCTTTCAGGTCTTCCTTCTAGGCTGCTCGTATTCCTAATAGTACAGTGGGAAGAATCTGAGTCCAACTGTTGTTTTGATGACATGCTATTGCAGCCTTCAACCGACAATGAAATCATTCGATAATTCCATTTGCTGCAGGGTGGTATGCCGTGGTATGAATGTGTTTGGTGTTCGTTAGGTGAGACAGTTCATTGAAGAGTTGAGATTCGAATTGTCTTCGTTGGTCTGTACTAATCCATGACGGTGCACCAAATCGATATATCCATCCTTCGTAGAGGGCACGTGCTAAGGTTACAGCTTCTTGATCTTTGATTGGAATCGCCTCGGGTCAACGTGTGAACCCATCTATGCATGTGAAGCAGTAGCGGTATCCTTCAGAGTAGTGCATTACGACTATGTCTAAGCGTACGTGTTCGAATCAATCTGAAAGTATGTAGAAGATTTTCAGAGGGGCAGAAACGTGCCGGGAAATTTTTGCTTTTTGATAAGAAATGTATGCGCGTGTCCATTTGGCGCAATCTCCATTTGCTGATGGTCAGATAAAACGTTTTGTGATTAGTTTGATAGATGCACGAATGACAGAGTGCGTTAGGGAATGTAAGTGGTTGGAGCGAAGGGGTCAAGAATGGTCTAGCTGGTCTGGTTGAGATGTCACGGAAGATATAGCTTTGTTAGTACCCGGTATAAGAAATTACCGCCAACTGGAAGTGTTGATTACTAATTTTTAACAATATTCTGTGAAATATTACGTAAAAACTAGCACTAACATCAGACTTTAAGAAAAGCAAGTAATGTTTTTACGTACCTTTAGCACCTAGTTTTTGCAAATTGGTTGTTGGCCCAAGTTGGCAGGTGCATACGTACAAACTTACTTAACGCTACTCTATCCTACCCATTTTGGTACTCTAAAGGTAAAATAAGTAATGTCTGGCGGCTCTCTTATGTGTGTTTTCTTAATATTTTTACAACAGTCCTTACCATTATAAAATAAAGAATTTATTATTTCTTTTTATTCATGTTATTATTTTTTATTATTTGTTCTTAAGTGATAATGAATCTACATACGTATTTGTATATGTACTTATTATGGTATTTGAAAAATTGAAAAATCAGGATTTCAACGATATGATTTTTTTGAAAAAGTTTCCTATATTCTCTCTACTTCTTGATTCTTTTGTAGAGAGACCGCAGGATTTATACCCAACAAAATAAATGTAGTTACATACATTTACGACTAAGAATAATAATTTTTCAGGCTAGTGCTGAAATTAAAGTTGTTCATTCGAATATTTTTTTAATAAAACCAGAAAAAAGAGACAGCACAATTTTAATAATTTCTCATTAATTTATGTAGATAAGTACCAATATTATTTCGGACTATACAACTACATGGTGGAAAATTCTGGCAGGTTTAGGATTCGCTGCCTTAGTATGTATAATTTACATTGCTATGATGAGGTGGACGGCGGGTTTAATGGTATGGCTATCTATAATTGGAGTACTTGCATTTTTAGGATTATGTAAGTAAATACATACCTATTACGATGAACATATTTAGGTACTTAAGAAATTTTAATTTTTTTATGGCGTTATTGATAATATGATACTACTATGTTTTCGACACCATTTTTCCATTTTTAAACGACAACCAGTTAAGTTATTCGTTATGGAAACTATGATAATAGATTCAATTTNTTTGGTAAAATAAAAAATAAACATTCTCCTAGTCCTGCATTTGCGAATATGGTATGTGGGTGGGTAAGGGAGTTTACCGCATGCGTTACAAATACATTGAGTGCCAGAATTAGGGAAGAGATGCGGAAAACATTTTTTAAACAGCAGTTTTCTCGACAGAAATGGATACAGCACATTTTTTTGAATACGACAATTTTCTCGTACCTACTGAGAAAATTATGTCAACAGTTTTAAATTCAGAAAAATTAGTCAGAAAAGGTTTCTTTAAAACAAACCAAATCAAACGCGGGCAACATAAGTAAATCAACTGTTCAAATTGTAAATGCGGCTACCTGCTGATTCTTCTCCAACAGTGTCAACCTTGAAGAAGAAACAATAATTCGATCTTCGCATTTTCGTGACCTTTTCTTAAGTGATTATCGGGCGATAGTTCGGCTTAGCCCTTACATCCGCCCCATATTTTTCGTTGTACAGGGTGCAGGAGGTGATAGAGCACTATCAAACAAGAAAACTAAGTAAATGTTTGATGGTTCGAATATTCACCGTTTTCAAGAAAAATGTATTTTAAAGTGCAACCAATTATCAGTCCGGTCCTGGTAGGATAACTCAGGGAAATACGACATTGCAACGCTGCATTCAATCAGCTGCTATTTACCAGCATCCACATTGTATTTCTTTTGTAGTTTTGCACTCCCGTATTATTTGTTATTTGTAAGATTTAGATATGTTAATAGGATGCTGTTTTTGGTCGAAATTGAGCGATTATAATATGAATTTCGCGGCGACCCGTCTCATGCCCAAATCATGGGCAAAAATCGAATGGCAGGAGGCAGTCGATATGTTTAGGTGCTCAGTAACTTTTCTAACGATTTGACGATTGGCCAGCACTATTTTCTTCACTTTATCAATGTTTTCGTCTGTTGTTGACGTGCTCGGGCGTCCGGCACGCTCTTCGTCGTTCACATCTTCTCGGCTCTGTAAGAACATTTTGTACCACCAATAAACGTTGCTTCGGTCCAAGGTAGCTTCACCATATGTCACAGTCAATATTTGGAATGCGTCGGCGCACTTAATTTTGTTTTTCATACAATATTTGATACAGACTCTTTGATCCATTTTTTGGAATAGGCAAAAATCGAAGAACAGCCAAAACACGTGCAAGCAAAGCAGCTGTCAAAAGTAATTGAACATTTAACATGGCCGAACTTGTCGGTATACATGAGAGTCATGAGTACCAATATAATGCCAAAAAAATCGAAAATCGAATATACGTAACCTGCCGAAATTCAAAATTTGCAATACTTTCGAATAGACCTCGTACATATTATGTTGATAACGTAAACGCAATCTCTCGCTAATTTTATAGTCGCTCCATGTATCAAATTACACATAATCACCCAGAATTGAATACTTAAACGAAAAAAACTGAAGTTTTTCCTATAACAATTCTCGATTTCAATTCTTTTTTTGAAAATATATAGAGGTAGATGTACTTATGCTTTCATTTAACAATGAGTATAATATTATACATTGACTTGAATTGTATATAATACTAAATTATGAACATTGTAATACTTGCTCTTCATTATTATGTACTGTGTCCAAACATGATGGTATTATGGCTGGAGTTCCGAAAAGGAACATGCCCCGATTGGCTATAAATTTTTAACACAGGTTCTATTATGGACTAGAACAGCGTTTCAGATTTTCTTTTTTGCTACGGAACCCTTTTTGACTCACCAATTTTTGGCGGAACACCATCTCGACAAAAAAGTAAACTCATAATAGATTTATATATAAGACTCCTGCCACCTTATTGCCTACATGTTGTAATCTTCAACCTGAATTTTAAATTGAAAATCTTGATTACACATTTTTACTGATAATAGCATTAAAATAAGGTTTCGTGTCCGATAATTGAATTCGAATATCCGGAGTGGCATTCGACACAGTTAATATTGAAGCTTTAGTCTGATTTGCGAATGGATTCAGTACTAAGTGGCTGTCTTGTAATTCCTTTGAAAAATTTTTTTCAAGGATTTCTTGAGGTTCAACAGATGTTAGTTTATGGCTTTATACGCATCTAAAGATACTTTGACCATTTTGATAAATCCGTTTAGAAGAGAAAAACTAGGTTCCGTGGAACACGATTTGGGAACCGCCAGACTAGATCATAAGATGATGATTGATGATACTTGAAAGGTTTTTTACCGCCTCCAAACTTCTATCGTAAAGGGCAACATGTGGTAAAAAATTGAGATAAATCTACGGAGTTTTTCTTTCCAGAAAAAAAGAACAGTGCAATAATCCTTTCAGGTATCATCGTAATACATAAGAGTGTGATAAAAATTTGAAACCAATCGAAGCATGTCCGTTTTTAAAACTCTCGATGGTATTACTTGTATTTACATTACAGAAATAATGCTATGACTGTTTTTTTCAAGGTGTTTACATAACAGTTGATAATTACTTGTACTACAGAAACAGTAGCGACTCCCCATCGAACTTCCTTACGCAGTACATTTCCACGAAAAACGTATGGCTGGTCTTGGCTATAGCCGCCTCTTTCGTATTGGTTGTAATTTTACTGATTTTACTGGTTTTGCGAAGTCGCATATGTTTGGCCATCGTTTTAGTAAAGGAATCTAGCAAGTAAGTTGAAACAGTTACAACTAAGCAGTGTGTTTGGTAAATTAAAAAATAAACATTCTCCTAGTCCTGCATTTGCGAATATGGTATGTGGGTGGGTAAGGGAGTTTACCGCATGCGTTACAAATACATTGAGTGCCAGAATTAGGGAAGAGATGCGGAAAACATTTTTTAAACAGCAGTTTTCTCGACAGAAATGGATACAGCACATTTTTTTGAATACGACAATTTTCTCGTACCTAATGAGAAAATTATGTCAACAATTTTAAATCCAGAAAAATTAGTCAGAAAAGGTTTCCGTTTTAAAACAAACCAAATCAAACGCGGGCAACATAATTAAATCAACTGTTCCAATTGTAAATGCGGCTACCTGCTGATTCTTCTCCAACAGTATCAACCTTGAAGAAGAAACAATAATTCGATCTTCGCGTTTTCGTGACCTTTTCTTAAGTGATTATCGGGCGATAGTTCGGTTTAGCCCTTACATGCGCCCCATATTTTTCGTTTTAAATTGGGGGTACACTCCGTATAATGTACAGGGTGCAGGAGGTGATTGAGCACTATCAAACAAGAAAACTAAGTAAATGTTTGATGGTCCGAATATCCACCGTTTTCAAGAAAAATGTATTTTAAAGTGCAACCAAGTATCAGTCCGGTCCTGGTAGGATAACTCAGGGAAATACGACATTGCAACGCTGCATTCAATCAGCTGCTACTTACCAGCATCCACATTGTATTTCTTTTGTAGTTTTGCACTCCCGTATTATTTGTTATTTGTAAGATTTAGATTAAGTTTATGTTTACGGCCATCCTAGAATAGTTTTTTGGTCATTTATCGTTGTAGGCTTGTATTACGTATATATGTATAGAGTCGATGTCACTAGAAGTAGGTCAATGTGTCAGTGTCACAGGTTAGCCCAAAATAGTTTTATTGCATTAACTAATGCGTCAGTTTCTAAATCGGTTTGACTTCTTTGTATGGGGTAGTATGAAACAGCGCGTGTATCAAACGCCAGTGCAGAGCGCTAATGATTTGTACGACCGGGTATGGTCGCTGCAAATGAAGTATGCCAAATGCCGGACTTTTTTGCGCGACTAATAATTTGTAAATTTTCTAATAAATCTGTCTCGCAAATAGACTCATCTTCTTCCGACTATTGGTCTAGCAAATAGACTCATCTTCTTCCGACTATTGGTCTAGCAAATAGACCATAAACGCATCCTCATCGAGCTACAATCCCGCAAATAGACTGGAGACGGATTTTTATTTGTTAGCTTGTATACGCACGTTACAAAATGTTTTAGAAATATCTACATGGGGCTAAGAGAAATTATTTTGTATTTATTAGCACAGTTTAAAAACGTAGTGTACTAAAGGTTAATTATTTGTTTAGAGCAATTAGTTCAGTGACGGCATCTTTATTCTTTCCCGTCTTTCCATGGATTATTCAGATTGTAGTGATTATTTATGGTCTCGTTATCGGATTGTTCCTTTTAACACTAGGGGACCCTTATTACCAAGTAAGAAATATGGATCCAAATTGTGCATGTACTGGAAATGGCGTAAATTATACTGTAAGTACTTTTTAGATAAGAGAGCATTAAATAAAACTAACAATAAGAAAAATATGTAACATGGAAGTAATGTAACAGCAACTCACAATCACTTTACAAATAGAAAATACCTAAGTACTCTATAATATGTGCAAGGAAATCGTACCATTTGGTTCTTCATGCTTTAAGCCATATTTTCCATTTCGGCTTTTGTTTTGATGCATAATAAAAGAGTAAATGACCATTACGAATTGATATGATTGACCAATCTAAAAGGTGGTTTTCTCAAATTGGAATTTGTTAAGTCACCCTGTGGTAAAAATTGAACAATAGTAAGTTAAGGCTAAATTCAGACGGAGAGTATAAATGACAAGTCGATATTCGACAGTGACCTAGACTGCCTAGACGCCCAGAAGTTTAGCCCATAGCATAACATTTGCGAGGACAACGGTTCGATTCCCAGTACCTCTGTTCTACTTTGTTTTCTAAATTTTTCTGTGGCTTCCTTTGGATCACTTAGGCAGTAATATTCTACAAACAAATAATCTTTCAATTCTTGTTTGTCTTCATTTTGTCAGCTTCATCTCCCTAATCATTAGCCACCCATTCTCACGATTCCTAAAAGGAGGCCGAAGACGGCCTTCTTCCATAGCCCTGTTCGTCCATAAACAGAAGTAGCTGGTAGGAATGAAATGTTCAAAAACTTGAAGAATCAATGGGGTGTTGTTGATACAAGACAACTGATATAAATAGGGCGTGAACATGTCACGTATGCGTTTGATGCGCAATAGTACGCATGTATAGATAACCCTTAAAATCCTGCACAAAATTTTTGACGTGACAACGTCTTATAATTCGATGCAGCCGGCTGCAGGCACGAAAAAACATGACTCATGCGGCGTTACCTCGCTCTGAGGCGTTCCATTTAAGGCTTGAAGTGTAAGCGAGAGCGCGGAACGAGCGACAAAGAGGCACAATCGGCCTCCGCGTTCGGCAGCGTTCGACATCTGTCTCTCTCCTACTTGAGTGAGCAATGCTTCCGCGTGGACAGCTGCTATACAATAATACATTT